TGTAAATCATCTTCTGCATAGTTCAGCCTTTCTCGGCATGAAATTAACGGGGTGATGTTACTGTGTAGCCTAACTCCAAATGCAAATGCCAGAACTATGAACTTGCACTCGTCCCTCCATTCAAAAATTATCTCAAAAAATTTGACTTCTTATTCATAATCTTTATGTATATATTGGAATTGGGGCCGGCATCTCACTTCACGCTACCTTCATATCGCCAGTCTAAAGCTTTGAACCACCTGTCCATTTATCCATTCGCTTGTCCATCATCTTAAAAACCTAGAGGATTCCAAGGATGCAAAGAATTATTAGAGTATCTACAATAAATGATGCAATAAATGATACAGATGCATTAAATGATGCAATAAATGATATGATGCAATAAATGATACAGAAAGCATTTGAGAAAAATATTTTTAATCCTGTCTTCCCATTTTCCATTTTAAAAAATAGCAAAATCCTAAGATTTTTAAAACAATTAACATTAAGAGGAACAGGCTCCATCTCACTAAATTAAAAGTGAGATGCGGTCTTTTCGCATTGCCTTAAATTGAATATCTGTCATGAGATGTATGGGGAAATTAATTATATTTTCAGCTGGAACTGTTTGAACACAGTTGCCATAAGTATCAAGTCTTTTTTACATAGACTTTGTTTGTGAGAGAGAAAGACAGAGAGAGCAAGCACTGGCATGCTCTGATAGAGACATAGGGAGGAGAAGCAAAAGCCGACATCTCGAGGAGCAGGGCAGGATCCCAGGACCCTGTGGTCCTGAACTGAGCCTAAGGCAGACGCCCCAGGCGCCCCCAAGTCTAATAATGTTGCCAAACTCAAAACCGTACACAAAGGATAAATATTAAAATACTATTTGTAAAAGGCTTAGGAAAGTGGCACACACTAACCATATTTAAGTGTTAAGTAAACCAGTTATACCCCACCTATTGTCAAATTCCTAAGCCTTGACAGGCAACATTTAAAATTGCCCAGAGATCTAAAGTTTAGGCCTACAATTAAGTATTTCTTTTTTTTTTAAAGATTTTATTTATTTATTTATTTGACAGAGAGAGAGAGAGAGAGCACAAGTAGACAGAGAGGCAGGCAGAGAGAGGGAGAAGCAGGCTCACTGCCGAGCAGAGAACCCGATGCGGGGCTCGATCCCAGGACCCTGAGATCATGACCTGAGCCGAAGGCAGAGGCTTAACCCACTGAGCCACCCAGGTGCCCCTACAATTAAGTATTTCACAAAGAATTATTCCTTTCCCCTCTGTACCCATCCACATACATATCTTCAGGACTACTAAATTTCCCAGCCATTAAGTTGTAATTGTCATCCAATGGCCTATGTTACCCAATTAGTGCACAACGTTAAGTCACAAATTCAACCCCAAATTTAAAATCTTAAAAATTACATCACATGGGACACCTGGATAGCTCTGTCAGTTAAATGTTTGCCTTCAGGCAAAAATGAGCTATTGGGATTTCATGAAGATCAAAACCTTTTGCACAGCAAAGGAAACAGTTAACAAAACCAAAAGACAACTGACAGAATGGGAGAAGATATTTGCAAACGACATATCAGATAAAGGGCTAGTGTACAAAATCTATAAAGAACTTACCAAACTCAACACCCAAAGAACAAATAATCCAATCAAGAAATGGGCAGAAGAGGGGCGCCTGGGTGGCTAAGTGGGTTAAGCCTCTGCCTTCGGCTCAGGTCATGATCCCAGGGTCCTGGGATCGAGCCCCGCATCAGGCTCTCTGCTCAGCGGGGAGCCTGCTTCCTCTTCTCTCTCTGCCTGCCTCTCTGCCTACTTGTGATCTCTGTCTGTCAAATAAATAAATAAAATCTTAAAAAAAAAAAAAAGAAATGGGCAGAAGACATGAACAGACATTTCTGCAAAGAAGACATCCAGATGGCCAACAGACACATGAAAAAGTGCTCCACATCACTCAGCATCAGGGAAATACAAATCAAAACCACAATGAGATATCACCTCACACCAGTCAGAATGGCTAAAATTAACAAGTCAGGAAATGACAGATGCTGGCGAGGATGTGGAGAAAGGGGAACCCTCCTACACTGTTGGTGGAAATGCAAGCTGGTGCAGCCACTCTGGAAAACAGCATGGAGGTTCCTCAAAATGTTGAAAATAGAACTACCCTATGACCCAGCGATTGCACTACTGGGTATTTACCCTAAAGATACAAACGTAGTGATCCGAAGGGGCACGTGCACCAGAATGTTTATAGCAGCAATGTCTACAATAGCCAAACTATGGAAAGAACCTAGATGTCCATCAACAGATGAACGGATAAAGAAGATGTGGTATATATACACAATGGAATACTATGCAGCCATCAAAAGAAATGAAATCTTGCCATTTGCGACAACGTGGATGGAACTAGAGGGTATCATGCTTAGTGAAATAAGTCTATCGGAGAAAGACAACTATCATGTGATCTCCCTGATATGAGGAAGTGGAGATGGCACGTGGGGGGTTGGGGGGGTAGAAGAATAAATGAAACAAGATGGGATTGGGAGGGAGACATACCATAAGTGACTCTTAATCTCACAAAACAAACTGAGGGTTGCTGGGGGGAGGAGGGGAGGGAGCGGGGGTGGGGTTATGGACACTGGGGAGGGTATGTGCTATGGTGAGTGCTGTGAAGTGTGTAAACCTGGCGATTCACAGATCTGTACCCCTGGGGATAAAAATACGTTATATGGGGGCGCCTGGGTGGTTAGTGGTTAAAGCCTCTGCCTTCGGCTCAGGTCATGATCCCAGGGTCCTGGGATGAAGCCCCGCATCGGGCTCTCTGCTCAGTGCAGAGCCTGCTTCTCTGCCTACTTGTGTTCTCTGTCTGTCAAATAAATAAATAAAAGCTTTAAAAAAATACATTATATGTTTATAAAAAAATAAAAAAAATTAAAAAAAATATCTCCAATGAAGTTATCGGTCACAAGGGTGAAGGCACATTATCTGTACCTCTATAATTATTATAGTACCTAGTGCTAAATAAGTTTAATGAATTTAAGATTTGAGAGAGTGAGCACCCAAAGTGAGCCTGAGGAAGGGAATGGAGAGAATCCTCAAGCAGACTTCAAACTGAGCAGAGCCCAATTTGGGACTTGATCTCACAACCCTGAGTCAGCCACCCAACTGACCCACCGAAGAGCCAAGTTTAATTAATTTAAAAGAACAGAAAACACATAGTAACTTAACTTAGTTAAGAATAGGATTTATGATATTCACCCTTACTTTAAAAAAAATATGATAGCCCTCCAACAAGTAACATTTAAAGGATTGGCAATGCTTCTGAAGTCACTTACCTAAATTCTTCAAATGTACAGATTTTTGATAGGAAGACTAATTTGACAACCTTCCCACCATAGATATTAAAACTCTCAGCAATGTGTTTGGGGATAAATTGAGTGTATTTGTGAAAGGATAAAATTTTGACTCTCTGTACACTAGGAAAACTGCAAGGTCAGAACATTGTGATGACACTAATTTAGACTTACAGTACTGCTTCATTTCTGGCCATGCCTGAGGTAGTTTTAGAATTACTGATCAGGACAAGATTAACTACAAATTAAGCTTTAAAAGCCTGTTCAAAAACCAACTACCACCACCAAGTTTTATCACACAAAACAACATATATATTGGCAAATGGACAAAGAGACTATTTTAAAGGTCATACATACTTTTTTGCCTATAAGAGCTGACAATTATCACTTACCTGACAGAAGTGGTACAAATCATATTGAAAATCACTTGTAGTCATTAGTAATGCCAATTCAGGAATAAAAAGGTAAATGATCTAATGAAACATTGAAACTTCCTTAAAGACAAGTGTTTATTTTTGCTTAATCACATCTCAGGATTACATGCATTTGAACACCTCAGTCCTATTTTAACATACTTTCTAAATATGATATAAAGTGTTCAAATTTTATCAAATATCAGCACTGTCGTGTAGTTACTAATCTTGCAATGCACTTATTTCCCAAGGACATTCAACTTTTCCTACTCAGTGATATTACTTACTGCCTACTCAGTGAAATTACTTACTGGCTTTGATGCATTTATGAGAAAAATATTGCCATGAGAGCATTCTTCTAGTATTTCATGTAATAAGTAAAAATCTTTCAAATGTTTGGTTATGCATAAATCCTTTCTATACCAGGTTCATTTGGAGAGTCCTAAAAGCCATTTACCTGATAACTTGTTGTATATGTTAAGTGAACTCAGGAATCTCTAATTCAGCTAACATAGATTACTCCACTGAAATTTCATTTTCTGCATATTTGAGCTATCAACAAACATGAGGCTTTTTACACCTTCAGACAAGGAAGTACTGAAGTACATGGTGTAGATGTTTTCTTCACTTAGCATCTTACATACAAAATCCAAAGTCATACTGAATTCAGGATAATACATGCATCAAAAAGTTGGTGTAATTAACAAAGTCAACAGCAGAGGTTAACACCAATAAACTGTATTTGAAAGATGCTTTCTTTAATAGCATCATAAGCATCCTAAATAAATATAATGAAAGACCCAAAGCTCGAAGATAAATGTGCCGATGGAGCCAAAGAGCTAGCTAATCTTCAGACATCCTAAGAGTTCATTTGACAGGACCAGTCTTCCCTTGGGTCTGGTGACACCCCAAGTTCTCTTGGCAGGAGTAAAAAGGCCCTAATACCAATTACAAATATAAACAGAGATTAGAGATGAAAGTAATAGGCATAATCAATATCTGGACACTCAAAGATGACCTAAATTAATTCTGTGATCAGTTATTCATGAACTGTAATTTCAGCCTACTATAAAGTTGACTTCCAAGTGACAGCCAGATTTTACTTTCATATTATCTCTGAAAGAAAAATTATTTAAGAAATTGTAAAGCATCTGACTTAAATAGTAACACTTAAGGTTAAATAAATGAAAAGTGATCAGGCTTAGTTTCATTACAAAAGAAATAAACAAACCGACAACAAAGGTTTCAAATGTACTTTATTTCTTCAATCATGCCATATTTTAATGGGTGCAGAGTGTTTTTACTTGGCATCAGTTATGAGTTGGTTTTGAAACAATTCAGTTATTACACCAACTGGGATGATTACTGATCTCTCCATTCCTTTGGGGTGACTCTGCCAACAGGGGACAGGTTCCATTCTATTCCAATTTGTGTTGCTGTCTGTAAGAATTAAAATGCTATTAGTTATAAATGTTTAAACTAGAGTCTACTCTCCCTTGGAGACTATTTCTTAAAAGTAACAAAGGTATTCTTCCCTACAGGTTAAAAACACACAGAAATTCAGCTGGGATATAGTGCCTCTTCCATGTAGGCCAAAGCTAATTGCTGTCCTAATTCTCTAGACCAGTACTGTTTAATAGAACTTCCTGAGATGCAAGAAATATCTAGATCTTCACTGTCTAAAACAAGAGCCAAATATTGCTACTGAGCAACTGAAATGTGGCCAGTATGACTGAACAATTGAATTTTTAATTTCATTAATTCCAATTTTTACTTCACATTTCTCTTACTACCTCCTCAAACACTGCTTCACTCCACAAGTATCTAAATACTGCAAAAAAACACTTTTATAATATCCTTCCATCAAGGAACACAACTTCCAAAAGTGCCCCTGACCACACATTTGTTCAACATCTAATCACTCTTTTAAATACATACACCTATTTTACCTGTGTATTTAAGGAAGGTTAAAACAAGAATGAAAAGTCCCATGAATAAATATTTTTGCTTATTAAGGCAAGATTAAAAGATATCTCTAAGAGCAACTAATATATTTATCCTACTTTTAACCAATAAGTACATCAACTGGTAAGAAAACTGTTAAATGTTAAGATGTAAAAAACTAAAAAAAATGAAAGCAAGTCATTGTATGTCTCATCCATCAGAAATTTACTCAGTTCTGCGGGCAGAATTTTAGAAAAGACACCAATTAAGTGAAAGAAGGTGACCCAAGATGGTGAAATTATGTAAGAAAAAGTGATTAACAGAACTAAGGATGTTTAATTTGAAAGGGAAGATCCAGGAAAGTAGTATCTAATTTTCTAGTATCTTTGGTTTCTAGTATCTAATGGATGATACATGGAAATGGAATCAGAATTTCTTGTTGAAAGAAAATGATGGTTAGTGCATCTGGCTGGCTCAAATGGCGGAGCTTGTAACTCCTGATTTCAGGTTGTGAGTTCAAACTCCATGCTAGGTGTACAGATTACTTAAAAAAAAAAAAAAAAGAAAGAAAGAAAATGAATGCTTAATGCTATGGAAGAAATTCCTGCACTGGGTAATCACATCAGAAAATCCCTGAAGTCCCTCCCAACTAGAAATGTATACTACTACTCTGTGAAAGCATTTTGAATACATAAAATAAACAGGAATGAAAAATATCTAATATAGAATATTATCAATCAACAGTACTTACATATGCCCACACAGCAATACAGAAAGTGGCTCCACTAGCTAATATGGCATTACCATATTTGTCATGGAAATCAGGTGTCCTTTTCTGGTGGCTCTGCCTTGCCACTGTTTGTGGGATGCTTTGAACTGAAAAAAAAAAGGAAATACAGAAGCATATCTATCAATTATAAGGAAAAGAACATGTAATTGATACTGCAAATCAGGAAAGCAACAGGATGTTAAATTTATAGTACTCTGAGGTTCAACACAATGTTAAAACATACTGTAGCTAAAAGCAAAGTAGTATATTTTAAATGCATCAAAAATAATATAATTTGACACATGTATAGATATGTGAGAAACAAACGTATCAAAATACTTGTATCTATGCAGTGCAGTGTGTGTATCATACAATTCTTCCAAATTTTCTCTATGTCTGAAAATTTTTGTGATAAATCTTGGGGGATAAAACAGAAAAGGTGACGTCAGTAACACTCATATAAACCTCTTTAACTTGGGCTCTTATTCATTAATTTGAATATTTAGGACTTAAATTTTCATTAGTTTACTGTGCAGTGCTCAGCAACTTACAACATAAAAGGGTAAACTCAAAAGAATTTCAAATTAAAGCATACTAAATGTTTATCACCATAAAATTGCAAAAAAAAAAAAAAACACCTCCAAAAACTAGAGTAATGCTGATTTAAAAAAAAAAAAATTACTAATGAGGGTGCCTGGGTGGCTCAGGTGGCTAAGTGTCTGCCTTCAACTCAGATTAGGGTTCTATGATCCTGGGATCCAGTCCCAAGTCAGGCTCCCTGCTCAGCAGGGATTCTGCTGCTCCCTTTGCCCCTCACCACCCTCTTTCTCTCTCTCTCTCTCTCATGCTCTCCCAAATAAATAAAATCTTCAAAAAATAATTACTGATGGGGCACCTGGGTGGCTCAGTGGGTTAAAGCCTCTGCCTTTGGCTCAGGTCATGATCCCCGGGTTCTGGGATCGAGCCCCGCGTCAGGCTCTCTGCTCCGCAGGGAGCCTGCTTCCTCCCCTCTTTCTCTGCCTGCCTCTCTGCCTACTTGTGATCTCTGTCAAATAAATAAAATCTTAAAAAAAAAAACCACAAAGGATAATGAAAGGCCACTTTTTTGTTTGAGGCAAAGGTTTTTGAGCAGAATGACATTAAAACTTTGCTTTACTATTATTTTAATAGAATGATTTTTCAAACTGCCTCTTGGGCTCTCAGGAGGGCTTAGCAAAGAGCCAAGACTGCAAAAATGCGTATTTCAAAAGATTCTTTTTTCCTTCCTAAGTAACAGATTATTATATTTTTTAAGACTTTATTTGAGAGAGAGAGAGAAGGCGCGGTGGCCAGGGATGGGGGTGGGGGTGAGACAGAGAAGAGTAGCAGACTCCCCACCGAGTAAGGAACAGGACTGGAGGCTCCATCCCAGGGCTCTGAGATCATGACCTCCGCCGAAGGCAAACACTTAACTCACTGAGCCACCTAGGCGACCCGATCCTGTTTTAGAGACCAAATGGTACTTATGTAACGGAAAGCATGTATCTTTTTTTTTAAGATTTATTTATTTGAAAGAAAGAGCACTCAGGAGGAGGTGCAGAGGGAGAGAAACAGACTCCTGGCTGAGTTCAAAGGAGCCTAACTTCAGAGGATCCCAGGACCCTTGAGACCACAGCCCTAGCTGAAACCTCAGACTGGAAGCTTAACGGACTGAGCTACCCAGGCGCCCCTGTAATGGAAAGCATAGTTTTTTAAAAAACAGCAAAAGGAAGAAAGACAGACAGACAGACAGAAAGAGCAATGTTGCCCACTCCCTAGCATTTAAGAATATAATGGCTTCTATGTGATACAGTGGGTTATTTTAGAATAGTTATTTGACCATTAATGATTTCTTCTCTTAACTGCCTTATAGGTTTTCTTTTCACCTTTAGACACACTTGGGATGAGCAAATTTACAAACATTTCACAATATGTTCTGCTCTAGAGCAGTTAAAAAGTGAGCGTGTGAATTCCACATTGGTTAAAAAAAAAAATTCCCTTTCCTAAGGTACAAGGCCCTACCTGCTCAAAGGGCAAATAAATTAAAATTACCAAACAATTCTGCAACATCTCATGACCTCAAAATTCAGTTCACCAAAATTCAATCACCAAAGTGGATTTCTTTAGACTTCTCTTCTGTAACAAGAAATGGTTTAGTTACAACCTACTGGTATCAAGAATTGTATGAGGTTAACAAATATTTACTAACCCTCTGTTTTACAGAGCAGGAAAATTAGGTTCAGAGAAAAATTATTTGCCCAAAGGGAAAGAAATAACAGATGTGACTTTTGGAATATTAAAAACCCAGTTGGGCAACTATTTTTTTGGTGACTGTCAAAGCTGCTTGAGTGTTTAGAACACAATCTAGTAATACCACTAATGTCTCTGTAGAAATAAAAACAGGTTTAAGGACGCTAAATGGTAATTGCTTAAGGTCACTTTCAATGTAAAACTGCTCACGTTACTCAAGGTCACCTTCACTGCAAATCCAGTACGGAAATTAATTTCCTCTTTCCAATCTAGTGCATTCTCAATACATAAGGCTGGTCTCAAAATTCCCTTTTACCTGCCAAACTCTTAGATAAGAAAAAAATTACAACTGTTTTCGAATAAGCTAATACTCATTTAATAACGAACAAACAACATAAAAGCTGCAGGGCCACCACCTGGGTTGTCTCCTTGCAATGAAAGAGCTAGATTTCCAGTTTCTTTCCGTTAGTTACAGGAATTGGAGAGGAAGTTCACTGGGGGTAAATATACTCTCAAAACTAAAATTTATGAAATTACTGAAGGAATGAATAGTGTCCACGAAGAACCTCCTTCCCTGAAATCGTAGGTAAGTGAACGTAAAATGCAAAAACAAAAAACAGGGCTATGCTACGACTCTGGTGACAGAAAGTGAGCTGGGAACCAAAACAGAAACTCGGGGTGATTAAGTTAATGCTAAGGACAGCTTCCCAACTACTCGGGGCGAGGCGGGAGTCTGCGCATTTAGAATTAGAAAGTCGGGATGCAGGTGGAGGGAAAGGGAACGAGAAACCACTAAGACAAAAGTGTAAAAGGCGGCTGGAAATTATTTGCTTACAATTTTTGCTTACCTCGGAGACGACTTAGAGCGGTTCTGGCCATAGGAAACATCCTGAAGCTGAAAACAGAACCGAGCAACTACAGCTGCCGCTTTGCTACAACTTGGTACCAAGTCTCCTTGCAAAAAGCCCTGAAAAACAAAATGGCTTTCAGCCGGGCTCTTTAATGAGATTTAATGAAATATCGCGAGACCTCTAAAAAAAAAAAAAAACAACTCCAGCCTATAAAAATTGTAATCCTCTTTACAGACAGGAAAGAAAGGCTTTTTGGGAAATGTAGTTTCACGCTTGGCAAGCGAGGTACGTCTGTATTTACTGAAGAACCTTGCAGCTAGGTTTAGGGTTGCACAGGAGACAGCCGATACACTGATTTAGACGGAATCATCAAAGACAGTAGCTTCAAGTTGGTGTTTTAGAGGTCTGAACTTGTGTCTCGCTCCACACTACCAGTTCTTTTGAGTCCCCCGAAGTTCTTTCGCTTCTCTAATTTTTTGTCTACTACTGTATACTAATTTGTTTAACTTTTAATTTTGAGATTTAGAGAAAAGTTGCGAGAATAGTAAAATAAAATCGTAATTATGTGGGTAAATACGTGATAAAGCAAATGCAATGAATCGATTTTAGGATCTTGATGGTGGTGTTCAGAGTACAATTATTTCACTTTTTCTGTATGTTTGGATATTTTCATTATAAAATATTGGTGGTGGAGGGAGAACACCTAAACACCTATTGCCAAGGTTCACCACTTGGATAATATTTTGCCACACGTGTTCTCTCTTTCTCTCTCTCTACGGGGGTATGGGGGGGCAGTTCTGAACCATTTGAGAGTAACTTGCAAACATTATGTGCTTTTTTAAAAAAATATTTTATTTATTTATTTGAGAGAGAGAGGGAAAGAGGAGAAGGTCAGAGGGAGAAGCAGACTCCCCACGGAGCCGGGAGCCTCACGTGGGGCTCTATCCCGGGACTGCAGGATCATGACCTGAGCCGATGGTGAAGGCAGTGGCTTAACCAACTGAGCCACCCAGGCTCCCACATTATGTACTTTCACCTGTTAATACTTGAGGGTTCATTTCCTGAGAGTAAGATATTCTCTTACATAACCATAGTACAGTTACCAAATTAAGAAATTTTAATACTGATACAACACAGCAATTCCAATTGCGTCAACTGTTCCCTTGTCTCTAACCAGAATTCAATCCAGATCCCCATATTGAATTTAGTTGTCATGTAACTTTAGCCTCCCTCAGAATTGAGTAGTTCCACAAAATTTCTTAGTCTTTGGTGGCATTATTTTTTTTCCTCACTACAGAAAACCTTTATTCTCTCAGTTTTATCTATGAAAGAAGTGAGGTACAGAATCCTTAAATGACTAGTAGATCAAGATCAGTTCCTTGTAAGTGGAAGAACTGGTAATGGACCTCCTGACTCCACAGCTCTGTGCTCTGTAATATTTTTGAAGTGTATAGACCAGTTATATTATAAAAGTTCCCACAAATTGTGTGTGCTTGATATTTTCTCATAATTAAATTCAGTTTATGCACTTACGGCATCTTATGAGGAAGCATGCAATATCCCATTATTGTCTCATTATTGCCAAATTTAATCCTTTGGTCCAAAGAGTGGCTTACAAGTTCCTAAAGTTACTGTTTTTTCCCTTTGTAATAAAATAAGTAATGTGAAAAATACATAGAGACTATATGAATATCCTGTTTTTCATAAAAATTTCACCCACTAGTTTTTGTATCCATTGTTGATTTTTGCCTAAATCAATTAATTATTAGTTTGAAAGTTTGGTGATTTCCTAATTCTCTCATTATTCTATATTTAATAGTGGTTGTTCTACTGTAGGGAGGAATTTTATCCCCTCTCCAATTTATTTGTTCATTATCATATGGACATGTGGATTCAGTAATTATCCATTACTTTCATGATTTATTTTAGTAATCAGTAGTCCCAGATGTGATCAGTAGGATTCCCTTCAAGCTGTCTCATGCGTATTTTTTGATATGACTTCATTTTTTTTTTTTTTGAGCACGTATTTATTTTCTGACATAAGATGTTCAGGGTGCATCTTGTACTTTTCCCTGCACCCGCACTGGAACCAGCCATTCCTGGAAGAAGCCCTAATTTCTTTTAGAAATGGCATTTAGGGCGCCTGGGTGGCTCAGTGGTTAAAGCCTCTGCCTTCGGCTCAGGTCATGATCTCAGGGTCCTGGGATCGAGCCTCACATCGGGCTCTCTGCTCAGCAGGGAGCCTGCCTCCTCCTCCTCTCTCTCTGCCTGCCTCTCTGCCTACTTGTGATCTGTCAAATAAAAAAATAAAAAAAAAATAAATCTTTAGAAATGGCATTTAGCAATATATATTCAGTCCCAGGTGTGCTCATTGATATTGGAGTGTCATTGCTTCTAGTCCTTTCGGCAAATTGAGCTAGGAATATATGTTATGAAAGAAAATTTATACTAACACCTCCAATTATAGTCCAAACTCCAAAAGTTCTTTTCTACTTTCCCTCATTTCATATTTGTATCTCCTTTCTTCCATAGTGAGAGTCCTTGCTTTCAATAATATCAGTGTTTATGCATATTATATTATACAAAATAAATTTTCAGAATTGTTATACTCATATTACCATGAAAAACAAACCTACTTAGTAGAATTTCAGATTTGCTTGTACTTTTTTTTCTTTAGACTAATGGAATATAATCAAAGTGGTGTGTTCATAAATCGTTCAGATTAGTTTCTTTCTTTAGTGTGGTTGTTTTTCATTTGAAATAGTGTCAAGCTTCCTTTTTGCATTTATATTCAATTACAGTTCTACCACGTTCTTACTGATGTGATTTAAATTTTTCTCTAATTTTATTTTTTTAAATTTTTATCTATTTATTTTTTAAGTAAGCTCTACACCCAATGTGGGGCTCAAACTCACAACCCTGAGATCAAAAGTTGCATGCTCTACCAACTAAGCAAGACAGGTTTCCTAATTATTTTAAAAATTGTGGTAAAATATATGTAACATAGTATTTACCATCAATAATTATGTGTACAGTCTAGTAGCATTAAGTACATCCACATTTTTGTACAATCATCACCACTATTCATCTTTAGAATTTTTTTCATCTTGAAAAACCAGATGATTAGGTTTTATATTTGGATTATTTTAGAAGTGTTTACATTGTTACAAAAGTCAAAACTATACAAACTTGTATACTTAGAGAAGTGTCATTCCCTCCCATAACTGTTCCACTGCATTTCCTTCACCTCCCGTAGATAACCAATTTCATTAGTTTCTGGCTTAACTTTTTCTGTGTTTCCTTTTGCAAAAATGGACAAATATGTGTATATTTTCTTATTTCCTATTCTATTTTACACAAATGTAACATAACATGTATATTCTTTTGTACTTTGGTTTTTTTCACTTAACAATAGATCTTGAAAACCCATATCATTTAAACAACACTTCCTCATTCCCTTTTTTATACCTGTGAAATACTCCATGGTGTTTACATATATTGGAGGAGGTAATAAAGAGGACTTGACTGCCAGTTGACCTGTGAGCTGGACCCAGGCAATCATATATTCCTCACCCAAACCCCATTCTGGGAATGTACACTCTGCCTGCTTTTTCCAAGTGGGAGCTATTCCAACCACACAGCCTTGAGAAAGTAAGTTATTGTTGAGATCACCTGGACAGCACACATGACTGAACCCAATTAAGGCCTCTATACAAACTTTTGAGATTCTGGTGGGCAGTTAGGAATTTGTACTCGTTTTGCAGCTCCCCAAAACAAGCCTCCTGAGTTCCTTGCTTATTAAAAACACAACCTAAGTGTCCATAGATAGATAAATGGGTAAAGTGTGGAATATTACTTAGCCATAAAAAGAATAAAATCTTGCCACTTGTGACAACATGGATGGACCTAGAGGGTATATACTAAGTAAAATAAGTCAGATAGAGAAAGACAAATACCATATGATTTCACTTATATGTGGAATCTAAAAAAAGCCAAAATAAATTAACAAGCAAAAAACAGAAACAGAGGGGCGCCTGGGTGGCTCAGTGGGTTAAGCCGCTGCCTTCGGCTCAGGTCATGATCTCAGGGTCCTGGGATCAAGTCCCGCATCGGGTTCTCTGCTCAGCAGGGAGCCTGCTTCCCTTCCTCTCTCTCTGCCTGCCTCTCTGCCTACTTGTGATCTCTCTCTGTCAAATAAATAAATAAAATCTTAAAAAAAATTAATAAATAAATTTTAAAAAAACAACAACAGAAACAGACCCATAAATACAAGGTGGTGGTTGCCAGATGGAGGGAGGATAGGTGAAATAGGTAAAAAGGATTAAGAGGTACAACTTTCCAGTTGTAAAATAAGTAAGTCATAGAGATAAGCAGGACAGCATAGGGAATTCAGTCAGTAATATTTTTATAATGTGGTATGGTGACAGATGGTGACCACACTCATGGTGGTGAGCAGTGCATAATGTATAGAATTGTAAAATCACTATGTTGTACGCTTGAAACTAATATAACATTGTATGTCAACTATACTTCAAGAAGAAAAACAAAATAAAAATTTTAGGGGCTCCTGGATTGTGTAATCAGTTAAGCATCTGACTTTGGCTCAGGTCATGATCTCAGTCTCCTGGGATTGAACCCCAGGTCAGACTCTGCATTCAGTGGGGAGTCAGCTTCTTTCTCTCCTTCTGCCCCTACCCCGCTCATGCTCACACACTCACTCTCTCTCTCTCAAATAAATAAATAAAATCTTTAAAAATAAAAAAAATAAAAATTTTTAAAAATCTGTCTTTAAAAACCTAAGTGGTCTGCCTCAGTCTCTCCTTGGTCTCTCCTTGCTGTGTAGATACAGGGGCCAGGGTGTAAAACAATAATGTACCATAGTATATATCAGTCTCCTGCATTTGAAACTGTATTTGAACCTCCAAAGATACTCAAATATCCAAATTTGGGTATTTCTGAGAATATTTCAATCATAAATAGTGCTAAAATGAATAATTTTATGCACATATATTCTTATTGTTTGGAGTAGATTCCTAGAAGTGGGATTGTTGGATCAGAGGATAAATATGTATGTAGTTTTGCTAGATATTGTCAGGTTACCCTCCATATATATGCCAGTTTGCATTTCCACAAGCATTGTATAAGGGTGCATGTTTCCCCACAGCCT